TAACAGAATCATCCAGGCCGCCATCCAAGCTGGAATCCTGCCGTGAGTGAGATGTAGGGACACGGATATACAGCGCTGTAGAATCTCGAATATAATCGTCATGTGTAGGTAAAAGTCCTTCTTTGAGATAATCCCATCGGGTTGATAGACCCTTGTGAACGGGCGGCAACCATTTCCATGCACACCAAAAGGCGACCCCCGCATATACCCCACCACCAACCAGATCAACCATATAGTGATGAGTCAAGTACATACATGCCCACCATATCCACATTACATAAGCAAAACAGAACGCGCGTAATTTTGGGGCCAAATAGGATATAAACAAAGCTTGAATGATGGCACAGCCTGAATGTAAGGATGGGAAAGCTCCAAAGACCATCGGTGATCCGCCAAAAGTCGTGGTGTAAGTATTTGTATTAAAGAGTTCATCGATGCGTGCCAACCCGCCGGGATGACCATGCATCTCGTAATTGGCCGGAGTGTTCAAACCGTAGGTATATTCGTACCAAGGCGGTGAACATGGAAAGGCCAACTGCGTCAAGACTCCAGCAATGTTCATGTATCCGAATGCACTCGCAAACACTCGCAAGATGCCCGGCGGACCAAACCACCAAAGACCTGCGCTTGTTATGAACGGTATCGTAAAGTGAACGACTCCGTACGGAAACCAAGCTAAAACGTCCTTAATCACATTAGTGTGGGTGGCAATTATAGCCGACAAGTTGTCACCATATAGGATATTCTCTAGCGTTGGAAGCAACGAAACGTAGATATGCGGTCTCCTTTCACCCGGTATGAATCTGCAGGCATAGAACAGAATCAACCAGCATGCTACTGGTAAAAAGGGCAGGACAAAGATCCTGCTAACGGGATGACATAGTCCAATAGCAAATAGGGCAACTATGACAAGTTTTAGAGCAAAACCGGGAGAATCGATTATATAAAAGAGAAATAGACCGAGTGTAAAGAGGAATACATATTGCAAGTCATAGATTGTCCATTCGTGATGCTTTAATGGTCCTCCCACGAGCTTTCTCCCTCGTAGCGAAATCGAGAACTGCCAAGGCAAGGTCTTAAGTGTATGGCTTTCCAACTGAGAGGGCAACATCGAAGACTATTCCCTTTTTTATTTTATTTTTTTTCGCTCCTCCAGGATTAACGAGGACATTTTTTCTCTTGGACTTTTTATACTTGTAGCAGTGCTGTAAATGATTGGGTACGAATTGTGTGTGATAATAACGGATTTGAATCTGTCATTTCTAAATAAAGCAATTAGAGAGTACGTAAATTTAGCGTTGCACGATCTGCACCAAATGACGTTATTTTTAATAAATCTTTTCGGGTTGAATAAGAGTCCGGAATACCGGCAACAAAACTACCCGTCACGGCCGACTTGCGTGACTGTTTCCGTATAAGGAAGATCTCATCTTTATACTCTTGGGAAAATAAAATGGTATAATAATCATGCTGGACTGGACTGGATTGCTCTATATAGTGAAATCATTGTATATTTTGAGTTTACTCTTTGAATGCAATGACGGATTCAGTTTCAAGGTACAGCGATCACCAATTATTTTCTCTATAGATGCACGATGTATATGTATAAATATACTGTACATACAGTATACGCAAAAACACTATTATCGCATTGCATCAACGTTAAATGAACCCCGGAAAATCGTACGAATAAGTACTTATACAGTTCCTTATTTGGAAAGCGTAACGGACACAAAAATTAAAGAATGTTAATTAGGAATCTCCAAAACAATTAGTACCATTTTATTTTATTTGACAATCGACAATACAATTCGCTTATTATTATGATTAAAATGGATTGTACACATATTGCACTTGATCATGTAAGAGATGTGTTTGATTGTGGCAAGCTAACTAGTTTAGGATCACGCTATCACTTACAGGCTAGTAAGCGTTTGCTTTACTGTATAATATTAATAATAGCCTATATAAAATTCGGAACACTACCAATGGATAACTTGTTTACACCCTTGGAATGTTTCGCTAGATAAGTTAAGAAATACCGTTACCGTTACTTTTGCTATCCAACCAATAAGTGATATTTGAACTGTAGTTTTTATTGCGCTTTCTACTATTTACCATTGTACAACATTAACATTAAGCAGATTGCTGTCGATAGGGTAGTGAATGTCTTTTTATAGCGAATCAATTTTATTTGGCATCTGCAGAAAGACATGAGCGGCGTGTAAAGCTTTATGATATAATAATTCTGCCGTAAGTCTGTAAAGTACGTGTAGATCGAATCGATAAGCGGGTTATTATTAATTGATATTTTATAATTGACATGAACCCTGAATTTAGTTATGTATAAGACTTTTTTTACCGAAGCTACGGAAATATTACCAAAATTAATTTATATAAAAAAGTTAAGTTGCAAAAAGATATACATCTACACAGTAACTATGGTCTGCATAGTGATAGAGGACTAAAAGTAGGACAAGAATATAATTTCTCCCTGAATTTTTGAACTTTCAACGTAATGATACTTAATTGCAAATCTTGGTATCATTTGATGAGTTGTTATAGATCTTATATGTAGGAAGAGCTAATACATGAGAATTGCTTATTGTAGAAGAAATTATATAAAAAAGGTCATATAAAATATTAACAATTCCAACAATAAAGATGTACCAATTCAACCCAAGAAAAAAAAGACTGGCTTTGTCAATTCTAAGTCTACAGATTGGACATCTTTGAAAACCGGCATTTTTAACAATAATCCGACTTATTACAGAAATAACAAACAATGCGAAGCGTCAATGAGCACTCGAATACCAGACGACTTAATAAAAAAATATATTGTCAGTAGGAGCGCTTAAGAAAACATAAATATTGCGCATAAATTTGATATAATGTATTACTCAACAAGTTGATTGAGCACGCGCATAAGACACGTCTTACAAATATTTTGTGCGTTTTAAAAAATATTGATGGCGGTAATTTGTGGGATTGGATAATTTGCTGTATAGATAATAATGTGCTACAAAAACACTATCCTTTTATAGAGCAAATGTACAGCATCTCTTTTATTTAAAAAGTAAATGTAATCACACATTCTGTTATTAATTATTATAACACCTCTGCTGCCAACAAAACCCGTTGGAACGTAACTATTTAGCAGGAAAAATCGAGCGCCAATTTCCAATGCAGTAACGTCACATTTACGGATAAATTGCTCACTTTAAGATCCGTTGCATCAACATCAATCATGCATCAATGTAATTTTATTTTGCAGCGAACATGGTAGCGACCCCCCACTCCGTTAATATCAACCTCTCCTTATTACTACCCCCGCACATATCAGCTTTGCCAGTTACTCTTAACTACACTCACTGGCCAAAAGTATTTGCCGAAATCTGCTGATCAATAGTAAAACATATGAAAAATCTAATTTTTTTGAAATCCGTATTGTTTATATTTACT